AGATTTGTTCATTTTGTAATGATATCTTTAATTCTCTAATTTTGGTGAATATTTTTGTCATTTTTGGTAAAAAGTGATATTTTCGACTTCTTGTTGAAAACTGTAAGTCCGATTGCTTTGATATTACATATATAGGTACTACATGTGGACCTCTCAGATTTGTTCATTTTGTGATGATATCTTCAATTCTCTAATTAATTTATTTTGGTGAATATTTTTGTAATTTTCGGTAAAAAGTGATATTTTCGACTTCTTGTTAAAAACTGTAAGTCCGATTGCTTTGATACTATTCATATTGTTCATTTTCTAATGATGTCTTCAGTTCTTTAATTGAAATGTGCATTGCTAACAGCGGAGCTATCTCAGCCGATAGGCTGCTTGTTTAAGTATACAATGGGAAGTTGTTTCCCATAATGCATTGCATGTATGTGCAGGAATATGTTCAGTAATGCAAAATTTGAATTTGATTCAAACTGCCGTAATTCCAAAATCTATTTAACTCAAAAAAAGTTAAAAAAAAAAGTTTTTTTTTCGTGAAACATTTCATTCTGGTGATGTGTAAAAGCTGACTAAATGTACAATGTTTATTCATTGAATTCAATTCTGTTGTGAACAGTCCATCTCTTATTGCATATTGGTTTAAATTAATCTCGTTTGTTTCCAGGCAAGTCTGTCTTTAGACTCACATATGTCACTGGAAATGACTTCAAGCATCATGATTTTGAGAGTGACGCAGCGACCGCAAGCGAGGTAGCCACTAAGATTTCTCATATACTTGAGCTCCGCTCCAGTCACGTTCGTCAAGGATATCTGTTTAATCGAACGCGTAGAGGGTCCAGGAAAATGTGATCGACACTAAATGACTTCAAGAAAAATGTTTAACAAGCACTGTAAGGTCAAAGATCAATTTGCAATGAACTGTGAAATAACCATGAAGAGTAAATATTGAAGCTGAATAGAAAAAAAATGCAGATACAATGAATGTAAAGTTTATTCTAAGATGTTTCACAACTTTGTAAATTTTCAGGAAAATACATTTATATATATATATATATATATATTAGTGATTTGTGTTCTTTTTATAACTATGAGTTATGGCCGTCATCGTGGACCAAAACTGATTCACAGAAATATATTTAGACCAAAAAAATTTGTCAAAGTAATTTTAAAAGACCAAACTGATCTAACAATGATGGAAAAATCTAAATTTAAACAATTAGGATTCAATTACAAATGAAAGAAACCAGTAAAAATGTGCAGAAGTAAACAATACCCATTATTTCAAAAAGACAACTAGATTTATCCTGATTACTGTTGGCTGTGTCAGATACGGAGGAGAACAGAGATGTTCGGTATTTACCTAACTGTGTAATAGGTCATGTATCGCATGTAAAGTGATTTATTTGCATTCTGAAAAATACTTGCAAACTTTGGGGCAGGATGATTTGAAATAAAGTTCAACTTCATCTTCTAAAAGTACAATAGATAAGACTCTTCTAATTCTAATAATAGAACGAATGTAATACTACTGCTGCTATGGTGACAATATAATGAAGTTTAATCACTCAAAGTGTGAATTTGTATACATAGCAAATGATAACGGTTGAGAATTTGCATAAGTTCAAATTCACAAGAAATCTGTGATGCTGTAGATACAGTATTTAAGCGTTGGTGTTTTAGCAATTAATTATTCATGAAAAATCAACTGCCAGACTTTAGGAAATGTAACGTTGTCTTACTCATTGTAACTCAATAAATTTCATCAAAATAAGCCTAATTTCATTTTGTCTGTACCCCCTTAGTCTTTTAAAGTGCAAATGCAGAATTCATGACCCTATTATTTTTTTTATGTTTAATCATTTTTTTTAATGAGAAAGTAAATACAAAATATGACAAAAATAAATTACATGTCAGGTTTTGTCATAGATTTTTTGTGATGATATAGTTCTAATTACAACTGTGTACAACTTTACAGCCATATTGCGTTTTATAAAATGTATATGTTGTATATTAATTCATTCAGATTGACTGATATGACTTACCTTGACAGAAACATTAACGGTTCATCTGGATTAAAGATACTGTTAGTCACGTTTTCACAGAATTAAAACAAAATAATCCCTTATTTAAAGGCATTTCAGGTAATACCAGTGATTATTCTCCAGCTTCTTATAAGGCTTTTTGTCAGAATTTTAAAAAAATTGAAAATTTAGTTTTTAAAAACAATCGTTTTGTTTACAAATATTTATAAATTACACAAATATGATAACAAATATATAAATTAGAAATATTTGTAAATATGTTTATAAACATGGGTTTGTGCTGTCCACTGTACAATGTCACAACTTTCAAAGGTCAAAATCAAATGCGGTTGTTGTGGACATACATTGCTACATTAAATGCACCTTTGTGTTTGGACCACGTCTTCATCTCTCACTTCTATTTCTTAATTAACATTATTCAAATTATGTATCATTACGAAATAAAAATACCCAGTTTTAGTGATTTGAAATATTCTCTCTCTTACATCATCAGTAGTATTGTCAAATATCACTGTAAATATCAGAGTCAAAGTTCTTTCATAATGACCTGGTCACCTCAAACCTTTCAATATTCATCACTTTTTACGGTTCTATGTTAAATTTTCTCTTCATTGCTGGTCGACGTTGCAAATAAATATGCTGAAAATAAACTCACTGACTGACTGGATATAAATCTATGAATACTAGAGACATTTTTAGTACAATATTGGTAAGTTCATATCTTGTTTTTCAACCAAACAGATATACATGATACTTATAGCAAATACTTGACATTTCTGCAGCATAACATGTACATTCTCTTTGGCCTTCTGGTTAACTTTCTAAAGACTCTATCTTCTCACAAAATTATCAGTGATTGTTTTTGCAAATTTTTAAGTTTTTCTTTGTACCATTTTCTTTTCAATTATTTTTTTTTTTAAATTGGTCTTATTGTGATTACAGGACCTAATAATATTTTTTGAAAAAAAATAGTTATTTTAATATTTATTTTGTGAAAATACAATATTCAATGTGGTTTCTGGTCATTAGACTATCAGTTATAAAAATTTGCATAATAGCATTTTTTTCTAGTTTTTGTCAGAAGTTTAGGGAAAGTAAATTAAGAACTTGATTTTCATGAAAAAATCATAAAGGCACACATTTAACAACATTTACCAATTTAAAAAAAAATCCACAAACCTTTTACTTCCATTTTTAATGTTTTGAAAAAAAAAACATCAAACAGTATATTATGAAGCAGTGTGAATTATATAAATAGATCAACCTCAAAAAACACCAAACTTAAAAATATGATGGTGTTTGAAAACAATAATGGAATAAGGTACATAACCAAAATAAAGTGTTTAACATTCGAATCCTGAAAGAACATTCAGGATAGGCCAAAGAATATGTGATGATATGTCACTGTCGCTGATTGGCTATTCCATGACAGCACCTCATCTGATGAAACTTTGTCGATAAAATCGCCATAGCAACAAATTGTGCATCATCAATGTTTTTGATGTTTTCGCTGCATAATTTCGCAATTCAAGCTACGTGAAACGTCTATAGTCATCGTTTCATATCCAAATCAATACAACTTCACATATAGTGAAAGAACATGAAGTAGTCCTGAATCGCCAGGCTGCTGCAGTACTAACCACAATAGTAGTCCTAGAGAGGGTAGGGCTGAATCGCCAGGCTGCTGCAGTACTAACCACAATAGTAGTCCTAGAGAGGGTGGGGGAGGGCGGGCATGACGTTTATATAAATCCTGTGTAATGCCAAGATTACTCGCTTATAAAGAATACCAGGTCCAGTACACCCGGGAAAAGAATGAAAAATTGACCTGTCTTTAATATTTATCGTCAGTTGCAATTAGATTCTAGGATGTTTCGTGAAGCCCGGGGTGATGATGAGATATTGGCCATGGGCAATGACATACCATGACAAACAGACATAGCAGGGGTCATGCTTTAATTCCCCTAATTTGACGAGTGAGACCATCAATGTCGTTATGAATCACGCAAATCTAACCCCGGGGATAGAGACCACTGCTTTCTAAATTGGCCGAGTCGCAGTCATTGGGGACTGAAATAAGTAATAAAGTCAAAAGTAATCTTATAGGTAGACTTAACTCTGTCATGGTATGGGTTTATTGCTTTGACTGTTGAATGACAAGCACTTTAAGTGAAATGCGCATAGCTTGAAGGACATGTTCTGCATTGTGGGATATCGTGATTTACTTTAGTATGTTGAATTGTCTTGATGTCCATATTACAGGCTTTTTGACATACGTTAATATGGATGTCTCGCTATCTAAGCTAATAATGTAGATTAATTTATACAGGTTTAACATCCAGCAATTGTCTCTTACAGTTTAAGAGAATCTGAAACTCTGATTAGTATTATATTACATGAGTGAAAACGTATTGTTTCTTATTCAAGACGGATTAAAGCTAATATTTATTTTTATCACCAGGAACAATTACCTGTGCTAACTGTGTTAGTAGTTTGCCTCCCATGATGCATTGCAGTTGTAATAATAATTGTAATCACTATTGATTTTGTTGGGAGATACAGTAAAGTAAAAAAAAAAAAAACAACGTTGAAAACAAAAAACTATGAAATTGATTAATTCTAACCAATCATTCACAATGTTCTATATGACTTTGAAAAGCACCTGCTTCAATTGTTTTACAAGTAAGATTAGAGTATATTTCTGTCTAGAGGTAAGCATATATAGTTTTAGGTTGAGATATGGTAAGCTTTCTCAAATTTAATTACATCAAATTATTTTAAGATAATGAGGTCTTGTCACTTTCACTAAAAATTGTTTCCATTTCAAATTTTTATGGCATTTATGAAAACAAAATAGGATAGCAAAGACATTTTTACTTCAACAAAATTTTTCCATTTTCACTGACTTTTGTAATTTTCATAAATTTGTCTCTTATGAAATCAAAGTGGTTTAGAGTAATGTTTTATTTTTGTATTTGTTATATTTATATCAAATGCAGCATTTTTTTATTTTAATTTTGTTTTAAATTGTATAAAATTGAAAAAAGGCTGTGATTGTGTCTATCTCCAATATGGGAATCAATAGTTTAAAAATACAGATGATCATTTGTCTGCTAATCCCATCATGCAACAGTCATATTACTTCTCTAAACCTATTGGACATAGTTTTACAATTTGTACATGGATTACTGCAGCAACTTTCTGGAAAATACCACACACAATAAATTGAGTCTAAATTACTGAAAATAGAATGATTTAACTGAAGGGGGTATATATTTGTTAGTTGCCAAGGAAACAGAAAATACCAGCATATTCTATAACTATGTGATAAAGAGTGCATCAAATAGTTTTGTGAACAGTGTGGTATGCCTGCATGACATCATTACATTTTAAAGGGACATACTGATTATTGAATCTATGTAAATTTTGCCAGATCTGATAATAGCAAGAATATGGCTGAACCTAAGGAGTCCCACCTAAGTTCCAATTGCACATGTGCTCGGGCAACTTGTTACTAGTAATATCCACATTTATCATTGCAAATTCAATATTAAAATAAGGAGAGCAATATTTCTCTGAGATTTCGTCAGTTTTATCAAAGTATCATTCCTTGCGTGAAGTATTGTCACAAATTAAGTGTTTCTGGAAAATTGTGATTTACTTTTCTTCATCAAAACAGCCACCTTGGAGGTGAAAAATGAGCAAGAAAACATGGCTGCCCATTCCAGTTGGAGCCTTTACACTGCAGTAAAA